CCCCTAGGGAACCCCTGGCCCCACTCTTAACCATAAAAATAAATTGGCCAGGCATGGTGGTGCATGCCTGTCATCCCAGCTACACAGGAGGCTGAGGCATGAGAATCACTTACACCTGGGAGGCGGAGGCTGCAGTGAGCTGAGATAGTACCATGCACTCCAGCCTGGGCGACAGAGTGAGACTCCATCTCAAAAAAAAAAAAAAAAGGAAAAAAGAAAAGAGAAAAACAACATTGTAAAACTACAAAATGTATCTGGTGAGAGGGGAAAACATCTGATTCAGAAGGGAAAATCCTGTAAACTAACTGGGTGGAGGCTGAGAGTGGGGGTAGTCTGGCCCAAATCCCAGTGCTACAATTTGGAAAAGTTTCCTAATCTCTCTGTGCCTGATTTTCCTCATTATAACATGGGGTTGGTGGGAGGATTAGACAAATTAATATATGTAATGCACTTGAAATAGTGTCCCGTCCAGCCCAAGTGCCATGTAAGCATCAGCATTATTGTTCTGTCCCTAGTGCCCTGTCTGGAATGAAACCCAGGACAGGCACTTGGGAAGGGCTTCCTGGATGGGTAGATGGGGTGAAAAAGTGAAAGGGTGGTCAGGCAAGGTCTCCAGTTCTCAACTGTTGATTAGCTGTCAGCTTTCTCAGTTTCCAGAGAACCTGAAAATATTTAAAAGAAAATAGTGTCCAAGAAATGAAACTGACTCCAGAAAACTGGCAGCTCAGCCTGTCCATGACACTTACCCACTTCCAGGGTCAGCTGCAAACACCAGCTTCCAAGCCTTACAGTATGTGATCTTCTTTGCCTAGAACCTAAGGGTGCACCCAGCTGCTGCTATTTTTGTCCCCGACCTTGGGCTGGCTGGGCATCTGAATTTCCAGACATGTGCTTGCAGCCCTCATTGGCGAAGTCCCAGAGGAAACAACAGCATATCACTGCTGATGGGAGCATGGACATCGTTGAGTCTAACCCTCTACACAGGAGTGTCCAATCTTTTGGCTTCCCTGGGCCACATTGGAAGAAGAATTGTCTTGGGTCACACATAAAATACACTAACACTTATGATAGCTGATGAGCTAAAAAAAAAAAAAAAAATCACACACACACACCCAAAAAAACCCCAAACTAATAATGTTTTCAGGAAGTTTAAGAATTTGTGTTGGGCTGCATTCAAAGCTGTCCTGGGCTGCATGCGGCCTGTTGGTTGGATAAACTTGCCCTATAGTCACTTTACAGACAGGGAAACTGAGTCCCAGAGAAGCCTCAGGTGGTGGAGTCTTTGTACAAGAAGCATTGAGACCACTGTTAGGTAAGAGCAAGTAGTTCTAGGAAGGCTTTCTATATCAAAGCCTGCATTCGCCTGACGAACATTTACTGAGTGTCTACTGTGTGTCAAATGCTAGCTGGGCTATGCAGTGGGGGATGTTCAGATGAGCAAGAAATAGTTCTCTCCTGGAATCACTAACCAGATCTGAGGTGGAGGGGCTGGGGAGAAAAAAGGAGCAAAGAATTACATAGAATATTCACAAAGACAATGAGCAAAAGAGCACTGGAGTAGGAGTCAGAAAGTCCATGTGGCTGCTATCAACTGTTTCTGGGCAAGTGACGGGGTTTCTGAGTCTTGACAATCCTGTCTGCAAAATGGATGTGATAACTTCAGCCTGGCCTAACCCACAGAACAGATGTCTGGAGAACCACTCTGTAATTCTAACATGTAATAAATATGTAAGTGAAGATATTTTGATAAATGAATACATATATTGATTTCAAACAAATGCATTTGTACCAAGGCAAGGGACTGGCAATTGGGGAAAGGATTATACATAACCCCTTAGCTGAAGGGTGCCCTGGGCAGATGTACAAAAGAGGAGATAACACAGTCTGAGTGGCCAGAGGGGGCCAGACTGGGGGCAGCACAGAAAGAGGAAGAGGAAGAGGTGAGAGGAGCACCATTTCCTTCCTGTTGTGCCGTCAATGGAGCATGTTAGGAAGATCTGACTTTCTGGCGTAACAGCGAATCAAAGTGAGTCAATGTGGGCTCTAAACCAGGCTTCTAAATTGGAGGGCAAGTTTGTAGCCTAGGAATTCAGAGTTTTAAGGCCCTAGAGAAGGACTGGACTAACTCCCTCATGAGTGAAGCTAGAATGGGGTGAATTTTGCCCAAGGAAGACAGAGAAATAAGAGAGAAAGAAACAGTGAGACAGAGGATGAGGCAGGGCCAACCCAGGGCTCTCCCATCAAAAACCAGGCTGTCAAGAGCTGGCAGACTCAAGAAGGAACAATCAGAGCATGAGACTGGTGGTGCTGGAGGGAGGATGCCTGATGGAGAGCGAGGGTGGGGGGCATGGTTCTGGGGCTACCTGGCCAGGCTCAGCCCTTCCTGGAACTCTTTGCCTGTGGAGTCAGGACTGACTCTTCTGACTGCAACCTGCCTATTCCAGGAAAAAGACTGGCCCTTGTTGGGAAGATGCCTCAGTGAGTTTCAGGGAAATGGGAAACCTGGTTGCTTCCACAAAGGCTCAGAGGTCTCCCAACCACCTACCCTGCATACCAGGGAGTGTCTGACGTGCTATGGCTGGGGAGTGACACTGAGGGAGTGACTTAGCCGTGGGTCACATCTCATTAGGAAAAGCAGCTTAACAGGAAACAGATGGGTTGAAATATTTTAAAAGAGGATGAGACAATTTGAACAGCAAGATAAATAATGGGAGTAATAGAATAAAATAAATACCCGTGAGTTCATACTAATATAAATACATAAGAAGAAAGTCCAACTCTTTTAAAAAAATTTTTTTTTGCACTCTGTTGCCCACGCTGGAGTGCATGGCACAATCTTGTCTCACTGCAGCCTCCACCCCCCAGGCTCAAGCAATCCTCTCAACTCAGCCTCCCAAGTAGCTAAAACTACAGTTGCATGCTACCACACCTGGCTAATTTTTGTAGTTTTTGCAGAGACAAGGTTTCACCATGTTGCCCAGGATAGTCTCGAACTCCGGGGCTCAAGCCATACCTGCCTTGGCCTCCCAAAGTGCTGGGATTACAGGCAAGAGACACTGTGCCAGTACCAGCTCTTTCTTATAATACAATTCTAATTAATACATGTAGAAAGAATGATGGAAATAGAATATCACCATTTGGAAAATACCACAGTAATAATTATTGTTAGCAAGTATAAATGGATGCAAAAATTAGTGGACAAAAGCATGTGAGAGATAGAATATTTGCATAGTCTCAAAGTAGCAAGATATTTATTAATTACAAAAGAGTAAAGAGTAATTTCACAGTGGAAAAACTTGTTAGATACCACGTTTTTCAAGTGATCAAAGTTAACATCACCAGGAAAGAGGCATCTTGAAATTATGTACCTCTGATATGTATACTGAGGACATAAGATCACTTCTGTGGTGTTCCCACCCAAAATACATAACCTCAGTCTAATCCTGAAGAAACACCACACTGAAATTTAGGGACATTCTACAAATGAACTGGCCAGCACTCTTCAAAACTGTCAAGGTCATGAAAGACAAAGCAAGACTGAGGAGCTGCCCCAGAATGAAGAGACAAAGGAGACACAAGAACCAAGTGCATTCTGGTTTAGATCCTGGGCCAGAGAAAGGACATTTGAGGGACAACTGTTGAAATATGAATAAGGTATGTAGATTACTCAACAGCATTGTGTCAATGTTAATTTCCTGGTTTAGATTATTATTCAGTACTGTGCTTATGTAGATATGTTAAAAGTAAAACGTTAGAGGCCGGCCGCTGTGGCTCACGCTTAGAATTCCAGCACCTTGGGAGGCTGAGGCAGGAGGATCACTTGAGCTCTGGAGTGCGAGACCATCTTGGCCAACATGGTGAAACCTTGCTATGAAGATTAGCCGGGCATGGTGGCAGGCACCTGTAATCCCAGCTACTCAGGAGGCTGAGGTAGCAGAGTCGCTACCTCAGTGAGGTACAGGTTGCAGTGAGCTGAGGCCGAGCTCACAGCATTGCACTCCAGCCTGGGCAACAGAGTGAGGCCCTGTCTCAAAAAAAAAAAAAAAAAAAAAAAAGTAAAACCTTAGGCAAACTAAACAGAATTTAATTGAGCAAAGAACAATTTGAGAATCGGGCAGCCTCCCAAACTAGATTAGGTTCAGAGAAACTTGGGTGCTGCTGCATGTGGAAGAAGACTTGTGGACAGAAAAGGAAAGTGATGGACAGAAAATGGAAGTGAGGGACAAACAGCTGGATAGGTTACAGCTTGGCGTTTGCCTTATTTGAACACAGTTTGAATGGCTGGCCACATGTGATGGGCTGAAACTCTGTAATTGGCATAATAAGAGGTTATAGCCTGTTTACACATTCAGTTTGGTTATAGTTCATTATGTGTGGAGAAACCTTTAGGCCAAACTTTAAATATGTAAGTTTTATATATTAAATGTATAAAATGCATGTTATATATATTAAAAAGTTATTAATATATATTAATTTAACTGATGTTAATATTAGGGGAAGCTGACAGACAGGTGTCCAGGAATCTCCTGTTTTATTTTGCAAGTCTAAAAATAATTTTAAAATAAGGATGTACAAAAGAGGGGAGGTGAGGGAGAATAAAGAAGGAGCCCAGGTCCTACAAGTTAGCTGCTCTGTGGGAGGGACCCAGGACCCTGTGGCTCTTGTTGGGCAGCACCTTGGGTCTCTCTATTGGAAACTAGTGTTTGACCTAGAGAAACTCAGAGGCCCCACTTGAAAGGTCCCCTGCTTCCCTCTGCCTGAGTAAAAATCCATCACAGTCTTAATGTCCATTCTTGGTAGCCGTGGACCCCAGAGAAAGGCAAATGTCTAAGTCCATATCCATCTTCTTGGGACATTACATTCTCTGATGCCTGTCTGAGGGACTATCCCTATCCCCAGTAAAGATGCAAAAACCGAGGCCCAGAGAGGTGAAGGCATCATCTCTAGGTCACACAGCCAGTAAATGCAGAGCCAGGTCCAAGCCCAGCTGTGTGTGACTCCAATGCCATGCCTTTAACCACCTGACATTACTGCTCTGTTATTGCTCAGTTCAGGTGGAGACAACAGGCATTCACCAAGCACTTGCTGTGTGTCAAGGGGGCAGTGGGACTGGAGGTGAGGGCGGCTGAGATACTGATCCTGGACCACAGGTGCTGCACTGGGAAGGTGAACCCCCATACTGCTAAGCGTGTGGCAGGCAATGTATCATATATCCACAGTCATTCATTCACTCACTCATTCAGTCTCTGGCCTGTCCCTGGGCTCTGGTTGGTGGGTCTGATATGGTCGTTCCCCTGAGAGCTCCTGACCCAGCAGGGGAACAGACAGTTAAACAGTAGGCTAACCATACAGCGATGCCATGAAGGGGAGTCAGGGAGAAGGGAAGGAAAGAGGGAAGATGATTAGGAAAGTCTGGGAGATGAAACTATTGGTGACACAGTGGGTGTAGCAGACACAGCCCTGCTTAGTGGAAATTATGGCCAGAGAAAGAGATTGGGTGGAGTTTAGAACTGGGGCAGAATGGGAGTAAGATCTTGCTGAGAAGGTATCCAGGATGAAGAAGCTGGAGGCAGGATCTCTGAAGGTGATGTTGGGAAGGCTCTTCAGGTAGACACAGGGTAAGCAAAGGCCTGGACGTCTGGGATGGGCTGTTAGTGGACTTGACCCAGCTACCAGGGAATCATTCCAGAGAGGGGATACATGCTTTCCAAACACTGTCTTTGGGGGATGCTCTTTTATAGGGTGGGAGGTCATCTGAGCTTGACTCTTATCAATGAGAGAAATAGCTCACGGCTATGCAGCTGAGATGAGGGCTGGGACAAGGGCAAAGGGATTTTTTTTTTTTTTTTCCGGTTGAAAGCAGGATATACGCAGGCTGCTGTCCAGAGAGGGGATGAGTACATGGAGAGGAATTACAATCTCTCTGCATTTCCCTGAGGAAGAGGCACCTGGGCACTGCTCTCTCCTTTCAGGCCTTGTGGTGGACCTTCCCAAGCAAGTCATTCTGGCTCCGGTAGGTTATAGCCACACTCGGGGTGGGGGGTGGGGGTGGGACAGCCCAGGGGCCAGAGGGAGAGACTGAACCCAGTGGCTTGGGGAGTGGGCACAGGTGCTGGGAAGAGGGAGGTGCTAAGTCAGTGCAGAGCTTTCTCTCCAGGGCAGCTATTAGAGCAATTGCTTCCAGCACCTTGAGAGTGATGGGTCTTCTGACCTCTTTCCCCTCCTTGACTCTGGCTCTGAGAATCTGCTTTGCAGATTCTGAAAACCCCTGAGAGTTGGTTCTCCAACCTGGCTGGGGGAGCTCAGGCATTCCTTTCCATCTCTGGGCCTCAGTGTTAACAGCTGTAAGATAATGTGGCAGATGAGATGGTCTTTAAGGGCCTCTCTCCCAGGGCCAAAGTTTCACAGCTCTGTGGTCTCTTCTTTTGCACATGTCCACCCTCTCCCCGTCCTCCTCCTTTCCCAAATTCTTGATCCCTTCCTTCTGCCCAAAACAGTTCCGGATTCAAATAGTCCCTGGATCCCCTCCCACGCATTCCAGCCTGAATCAAGTGTCATTTAATCAGCGAGTTTATTCATTTTAGGGGCTGGAAGAGAACCAATAGTATATGCCAGGCCCTTAGTTTACCATAATAACCCTGCAAGGGAGGCATATTATAGGTGAGAAAGCTAAGGCTCAGAGAGGTTAAATTATGAGCTCCGAGTTGCACAGCCATTAAGAAGTGAGTTAAGCTGTATTCTGTCTGTTCTACCCTGCCTGTTCCGTCTATTCTACCATGCTGAGTGTCCTGCCCTTTCTGGGGATGGTGAGGTTTCATTTTCATGCTGAAATACACACGCAAGGAGTTCTCGGGGACATTTCAGGCAACAAGGAGAGAGGCAAAAGCAAAACATCAAAAAACATTCTGGGAAAGACATGAAAGTCTCACCTTCTGCAGCAGCAGCCCCTTGAAGGGTCAGGCTCTAAAAGTGCTTACTTTTTGTTAGCTGAAATAAGCTTTGGGAGGAGGGTTACTCTTGTGATTTTATACACGTCACAAACATCTCTATTTCCTGACCAGGCCAGGAAACATTAAGTGATGTGGGGTCCCAGGGAGCGTGGGGAGCAGGCAGGCCTCACGTATCTCAGGAGCTATGTCTAGCTGGAGGCTGCAAGGGGACTCCTGCCCTGCTGAGGAATGGATAAGGCCACTCCCTTCCAGCCAGACTTTGTGTAATCTGGTGTACCAGACATAGCTCTGGCATGAAAGCAAACAGGATACACTAAGATGTTCCTGTGGGTTATTTTTGCAATGGTAGCATCACAGGGGACTTTTGTTTTTGTTTTTTGGCCTCTTTCTTATTTTTCCACTGTATTTCTACTTTTTACAATGAATATATATTATTATGGTAATCAGGAAAAAATAACATGTTAAAAAAGTAAGGAGAGAGAGCATGCAGTGATCTGGAATCAGAGGCCAGCTGATTCCTCTGGCCAGCTGTGCCTGCCTTGCAATGTGGCCCTGGAGTTCCTGGGAAACCAGAGAGGCGATACCTGTTCACTCCTTCACGAGGGAGCCAGGAAGACACAGCAATGACTGGGATAAAAAAAGGGTATCTGGAAACACAAAGCACTGTGTAAGTGTCAGGACTGGTTTTTAGTATCTTCATTGTGTTTTATGAATCACGATCCAAATATGCTTCCCATGCAGACCATCCAGAAGGCAGCTGTTCATCCTGCAAGCCCGAGGAAGGGGCGCACACAGGCTGAACTCCCAGTGTGTGATTTGGGGCTCCAGCTCTGGAGCCAGCTGCAGGAACTTGGTTTCCAGTTCTGCCGTATACTTGCTGTGTGTCCTTGGGCATATTACTCCCCTTCTCTGTGTCTCAGTTCCTCATCTGTAAAATGGGGCCAATTTTATAAGGTTATTGTGAGAAGTCAGTGCATTATTACATATAAAGCCCAGGGGAGGGGATCCACAACCTAGTTATTACCGTTATTTTTTTGAGACAGAGTTTCGCTATGTTGCCTATGCTGGTATCAAACTCCTGGGCTCAAGGAATCCACCAATCTCAGCCTCCCAAGTAGCTGGGACTAGAGGTGCATGCCACTGCACCTGGCTGTGCTTACTATTTTCTTTGAGTTGTATTGTAACCTAGCATTTAAGAGCATGGACGCCCGGTTTCAAATCCTGGCTCTACTACTCAATTGCTCTGTGATCTTGGACCAGTTCTCTAACTTCCCTGTGTGTTAGTATCCTCAGCTCTAAAACAGGGCTAATAATAGTATTTACTTCTATCAGGTAAATGTGAGGATTAAATAAGTTAATACATTTAAAGCCCTTACCCTAGATTGTATTTTAAAGGAGGATATGATTTCCACATTCAAAGGAAGCCAGCAAAAATATTTTCCACTAGAAGTGATCTCAAATGGTGTCCTTGGTTTCATATTTCAAAGGCTGGTGTGGCCTCTGGAGATCACGTTCAATCTTGTTTATTTGATCAGCTTGCATGCTGAATCAGCTGCACTGTGAACAGTACACTCAGCATGGGTGTGCTTTCAGCACCTGAGGGACCTACACGTGACCCTGTCCATAGGCTTCTTGGCTGTGGGGAGGGTGGTCGTGAAATTGATGTTTAAGGTGGAAGAGGGGAGATGGTGGGAGACACAAAAGAGGGTTCAGTGAGTCAAGCAGGGTTTGGTCAAGCTGTGTGGGGCCTGATCAGGGGAGTGCTGGTGAAAGTTTGATAACCAGCTCTGGGCTGGGGGCATAGGGGAGGTAGGATGGCAGAGGAGAGGAAAGCCTTGATTTATAGCTTTTGTCATGGTGTAAATATTCCCAGTTTCAAGTTACCAACTTAACATCACTGAACGCAGGGTTGGTTAATTCCATGATCATTTGTTTAATGCCTCCCAGATGCCGTGACTGGCTCTCAGCACACCACTGGCTTTGAACCTTCCTGCCACTAGTTGCTGAGGCCAGAAGTCCCACTGTCGGAACCTCAACCTTCGAATTTAAGTTTGATCCATTTTGAAAGGGAGTGTGGGGAGGATGGGGTCATCACTTCCACCTCACATTGTGAGGGCCATCCAATCCCCAGCCCCCCATTTGCTAATCTGAGGCTGTGGACAACTGGGCTTCACCTGTCCACACCTGTTTCTTTATCTGGAAAGTGGGGATTATACTCACTTTGCTTCCCAGGACGATGGGGAAGATAAGGTGAGAAAATTACATGTGAGTGTTCAACTCATAGAAGGAGCCCAACTAACATGGCTGCATCCTTGTCACAGTATTCTTCCTCTTGTTGCCTCAACTGCGACTTTCCTGAGAGACCTAAGAGAGGGGAGCCCTGGATATCTCCCAGTGAGGGTAAGAACCTGGACAACCAGCAAAGACTCAATCACACCTTTCTCTTTTTTTCCTTTTTTTTTCTTTGAGATGGAGTTTCACTCCTGTTGCCCAGGCTGGAGTGCAGTGGTATGATCTCAGCTCACTGCAACCTCTGCCTCCTGGGTTCAAGTGATTCTCCTGCCTCAGCCTCCCAAGTAGCTGGAATTACAGGCACCTGCCACCACGCCGGGCTAATTTTGTATTTTTAGTAGAGACGGGGTTTTGCAATGTTGACCAGGCTGGTCTCAAACTCCTGACCTCAGGTGATCCACCCACCTCGGCCTCCCAAAGTGCTGGAATTACAAGTATGAACCACTGTACCCGGCCTTCAAGGATGAGGTGGGACCAGGGACAAGGCACCATGTGCCTGGAGTCTGAAGACCAGATGCAGCTTGGCTAGTGACTTCCTGTGTGACCCTGGTAAAGTTGCTTTGCTCTTGGGTTAAATGGGGCTGATGGTTCTTTCCCGATTTGCCTTACAAGGCTACGATAGTGCATATGAAGGTGCCTGGCCAGCTGTAACATGCATATGGGAGTGCTGACTGCTGCTGTCATTGTTGGCATTATTGATGAAAGTGATAGGAGGGGATGGTTGCTCCAGAGGTGAGGGAGACCTGGAAAGATTCCCAGAGTCAAAGATCAGGGGTAAAGGCCTGACTGCTGTTACCACTGTTGTTGGCATTATTGATGAAAGTGATAGGAGGATGGTTGCTCCAGAGGGGAGGATGACCTGGAAAGATTCCCAGAGTGAGAGATCAGGAGGGTAAAGGCCTGATTGCTGTTGTCATTGTTGTTGGCTTTACTGATGAAAGTGATGGGAGGATGGTTGCTCCAGAAGTGAGGATGACCTGGAAAGATTCCCAGAGTGAAAGATCAGGAGGCTAAAGACCTTGAGTGGGAAGGGGATAGGGTGTTCCATGTAGAGGGAGAACAAAGGTGGCCTGGACTAGCAGGGTCCGCTGACTCTGACCTCTGGCTTTGATTGAAACATTCATCAGACTTGGTTGTTTGCTGAAACAAAAGTCAGGGGGCTTTGAGAAATCAAGTCAAGATCAAGGTCCATGTCAGCAGCTCAGAAAAGCTAGTGTTTAATCAATGTCACCTCCTGAGTAATAAGCCCTGATAAGGCCCGAGTACACTCCTCACATCCTCCTTCTGCAGCAGCTCACAGGCTCCCAGCTCCAGCCATATGCTAGGAGTGTCCTTACTGCTGCCCAGAAAAGGGAGGAGTTGAAGGCCAGGAGGCCCCTGGTGCAGAGGAGAGGACAGGAAGACCAGCAAAAAACAAAACAAAACAAAACAAAAGGCACTGGGTAAAGTTCCTGAGGTTGATCAGGAACAGAGCTGGGCCTTAGAAAAAGCCACTCAGGCTGAGCTCCTGGGGTGGGGACAGGTCATGTGTGGTTTCCACAGCATCTGGTCCAGATGCCACTGGATAGGACCCCAAGGGTGGGGCAGAGGCTCACAGAGTGGGAGGACTCCAGGACTCCCTCAGAAGAGGTTCTGCTTCAGTAGCACTGAATTGTTCCACCAGCCATGAGATCATGGTATCACAGATACTTTGGGCCAACTGAGGACCCAAGTCAACATTTATTTAGAAGTCTACCTGAAAAAAGGGGATAAAACTTTTATCAGAAAGGGCTAAGGAAAATGTTTGCAATATATATGAAAAAAGCTAACATCCTCACTATTATAAGACCTCATAAAATGAGCATCCCACCTATTAAAAGAATAAATAATTTACAGAATAAATACGAGGGGGTATTGAACATATTAAAAAGTTCAAGCTCATGCAAGTAAAATATTAAAAAATAAAATCCAGAAGTATGGGGTAGAGCTGATTTGCATTTCTCAATTTGTGGCCCGTGACCCTGAGTAGTCTGCAGGCCCCCTCTTCAGTGGCTCTTCACGATTGCCTGCTTGGGCCACAAATTCCTTTTTATCTCCTTCCTCTCTCCTCCTCAAGCCCCCTTCCCCATTGGTGAATGCCCTTTGTTCAACATGAAGTCTGTCTTCCCCTCTCTTTCTCCTGGAACACACTACAGGTTTGAGCCTAATTCTTAGTTCATGACATACTTGTATCACTGGTTTATGTGAAGCTCTCATCAAAAAATTATTTTAAACAAAGCAATAAAATTCTGGGATGTCACTGCCTTAGATGACACTTGACCGTGGACAGTGACTCATCCCATCTCCATGGTCCACCCCAATCCCATACTGCTGGCTCTGCCCAGGCACCTGCCATCTTGAATTTGGTGCCTCTCATTCCTGTGCCTTCCTGTTATCTATTTGTACTCCTTCAAAAGTATATATGTTTTGTTTCATTTGTCTTAATTTCATTAAAAGAGTGTCATGTACATATTTTTATGGGACTTAGAGACAAGTGGGCCGATTCAAGAGGAGAGACTCACAGGGTGGTTGTGAGAGTGAGGAGGAAAGAATATGCAAGATATCCCATGTTTCAGTCTTAGGTGACTGAGTAGTTGGTGGAGTCATTCAGTTAGATAGGCCTAGGAAAGAAGAAAGGAACTGGTGGGGAGATGATGAACTCAGTTCTGGGCAAAGCAATAATTTAAGCTCGCATTTATTGAATGCTTGCTATGTTCTAGTCAGTTTTGTAGAACTTAAAGTGCTCTGCATGTATTATCACATTTAAGCATAAAAGAACATTGCCAGATAGGCACAGTTATTATTTTCATTTTAAAGATGAGGAAACTGAGAGGTAGAAAAGTTTAGTAGGTTCTGAGCCCATCAACATGATGGATCACACCTTTCTGCTACAAACAGAAATACTGTTAAATATTAAATATTTGTCATTGAAAATATTGATATGAGGCCAGGCGCAGTGGCTCACGCCTGTAATCCCAGCACTTTGGGAGGCCAAGGCGGGCGGATCATGAGGTCAGGAGATCGAGACCATCCTGGCTAACATGGTGAAACCCCCTCTCTACTAAAAATACAAAAAATTAGCTGGGCATAGTGGTGGGTGCCTGTAGTTCCAGCTACTCGGGAGGCTGAGGCAGGTGAATGGCCTGAACCCAGGAGGTGGAGCTTGCAATGAGCCGAAATTGCACCACTGCACTCCAGCCTGGGTGACAGAGTGAGACTCCGTCTCAAAAAAAAAAAAAAAAAAAAAAGAAAAGAAAAGAAAATATTGATATGAAACTATTTACAAATAAAATATTTAAAAACTCTCAAAAAGCAAGGGAAATCCTCAGGTGACAGGAGTAAAGAAAACCCAAAGCCAGGGTGGATGCGTTGGACATTTATGGATAAAACAAGCCCCATGGGCGTCTGCCATTACTGAGGCTTGAGTAGGCAGTTTTCCCCTCACAGTGTAAACAAAGTCACTGGGAAGTTCGAACTGGGCAGAGACCACTGCAGCTTGGCAAAGCCACTGTAGCCAGACTCCCTCTCTAGATTCCTCCTCTCTGGGCAGGGCATCTCTGAAAGAAAGGCAGCAGCCCCAGTCAGGGGCTTATAGATAAAACTCCCATTTCCCTGGGACAGAGCACCTGGGGGGAGGGGTGGCTATGGGCGCAGCTTCAGCAGACTTAAATGTTCCTGCCTGCTGGCTCTGAAGAGAGCAGTGGATCTCCCAGCACAGCACTTGAGCTCTGCTAAGGGACAGACTGCCTCCTCAAGTAGGTCCCTGACCCCTATGCCTCCCCGCTGGGAGATACCTCCCAGCAGGGGTTGACAGATACCTCACACAGGAGAGCTCTGGCTGGCATCTGGTGGGTGCCCCTCTGGGATGAAGCTTCCAGAGGAAGAAACAGGCAGCAATATTTGCCATTCTGCAGCCTCTGCTAGTGATACCCAGGCAAACAGGGTCTGGAGTGGACCTCCAGCAAACTCCAGCAGACCTGCAGCAAAGGGACCTGACTGTTAGAAGGAAAACTAACAAACAGAAAGGAATAGCATCAACAAAAATACATCCACACAGAAACCCCATCCGAAGGCCACCAACATCAAAGACCAAAGGTAGATAAATCCACGAAGATGAAGAAAAACCAGTGCAAAAAGGCTAAAAATTCAAAAGACCAGAATGCCTCTTCTCCTCCAAATGATCACAACTCCTCACTAGCAAGGGAACAAAACTGGATGGAGAATGAGTTTGACAAATTGACAGAAGTAGGCTTCAGAAGGTGTGTAATAACAAACTCCTCTGAGCTAAAGGAGCATGTTCTAGCCCAATGCAAGGAAGCTAAGAACCTTGAAAAACGGTTAGAGGAATTGCTAACTAGAATGACCAGTTTAGAGAAGAATATAAATGACCTGATGGAGCTGAAAAACACAGCACAAGAACTTCGTGAAGCATACACAAGGATCAATAGCTGAATCAATCAAGCAGAAGAAAGGATATCAGAGATTGAAGATCAATTTAATGAAATAAAGTGTGAAAACAATATTAGAGAAAAAAGAATATAAAGGAATGAACAAAGCCTCCAAGAAATATGGAGACTATGTGAAAAGACCAAATCTACATTTGATTGGTGTACCTGAAAGTGACGGAGAGAATGGAACCAAGTTGGAAAACATTCTTCAGGATATTATCCAGAAGAACTTCTCCAACCTAGCAAGACAGGCCAACATTCAAATTCAGGAAATACAGAGAACACCACAAAGGTACTCCTCGAGAAGAGCAACCCCAAGACACATAATTTTCAGATTCACCAAGGTTGAAATGAAGGAAAAAATGTTAAGGGCAGTCAGACAGAAAGGTTGGGTTACCCACAAAGGGAAGCCCATCAGAGTAACAGCGGATCTCTCTGCAGAAACCCTACAGGCCAGAAGAGAGTGAGAGTCCAATATTTAACATTCTTAAAGAGAAGAATTTTCAATCCAGAATTTCATATCCAGCCAAACTAAGCTTCATGAGTGAAGGAGCAATAAAATCCTTTACAGACAAGCAAATGCTGAGAGATTTTGTCACAACCAGGCCTGCCTTACAAGAGCTCCTGAAGGAAGCACTAAACATAGAAAGGACAAACTGGTACCAGCCACTGCAAAAACATACCAAATTGTAAAGACCATCGACACCTATGAAGAAACTGCATCAACTAATGGGCAAAATAACCAGCTAGCATCATAATGACAGGATCAAATTCACACATAACAATATTAACCTTAAATGTAAACAGGCTAAATGCCCCAATTAAAAGACACAGACTGGCAAATTGGATAAAGAGTCAAGACCCGGCTGGGTGCGGTGGCTCAAGCCTGTAATCCCAGCACTTTGGGAGGCTGAGATGGGTGGATCACAAGGTCAGGAGATCGAGACCATCCTGGCTAACACGGTGAAACCCCCTCTCTACTAAAAAATACAAAATACTAGCCGGGCGAGGTGGCAGGCGCCTGTAGTCCCAGATACTTGGGAGGCTGAGGCAGGAGAATGGCAGTAAACCCGGGAGGCGGAGCTTGCAGTGAGCCGAGATCTGGCCACTGCACTCCAGCCTGGGCAACAGAGTGAGACTCCGTTTCAAAAAAGAGAGAAAACAAAAAAAAAAGAGTCAAGACCCATGGGTGTGCTGTATTCAGGAGACCCATCTCACATCCAAAGACACACATAGGCTCAAAATAAAGGGATGGAAGAATATTTACCAAGCAAATGGAAAGCAAAAAAAAAGCAGGGGTTGCAATCCTAGTCTCTGATAAAACAGACTTTAAACTAACAAAGATCAAAAAGACAAAGAAGGGCATTACGTAATGGTAAAGGGATCAATGCAACAAGAAGAGCTAACTATCCTAAATATATATGCACCCAATACAGGAGCACCTAGATTCATAAAACAAGTTCTCAGAGACCTACAAAGAGACTTAGACTCCCACACAATAATAATGGGAGACTTTAACGCCTCACTGTCAATAGTAGACAGACCAATGAGACAGAAAATTAGCAAGGATATTCAGGACTTGAACTCAGCTCTGGACCAAGTGGACCTAATAGACATCTACAGAGCTCTCCACCCCAAATCAATAGAATATACATTCTTCTCAGCATCCTGATACCAAAACATCACACTTATTCTAAAGTTGACCACATAATTGGAAGTAAAACACTCCTCAGCAAATGCAAAAGAATGGAAATCATAACAGTCTCTCAGACCACAGTGCAATCAAGTTAGAGTTCAGGATTAAGAAACTCACTCAAAACTACACAGCTACATGGAAACTAAAGAACCTGCTCCTGAATGACTACTGGGTAAATAACGAAATGAAGGCAGAAATAAATAAGTTCTTTGAAATCAATGAGAGCAAAGACACAACGTATTAAAATCTCTGGGACACAGCTAAAGCAGTGTTTAGAGGAAAATTTATAGCACTAAATGCCCACAGGAGAAAGCAGGAAAGATCTAAAATCGACAGCCTAACATCACAATTAAAAGAACTAGAGAAGCAAGAGTAAACAAATTCAAAAGCTAGCAGAAGACAAGAAAAAACTAAGAGCAGAGGAGAACTGAAGGAGAGAGAGAGATGAAAAACCCTTCAAAAAATCAATGAATCCAGGAGCTGGTTTTTTGAAAAGATCAACAAAATAGATAGACCACTAGCCAGACTGATAAAGAAGAAAAGAGACAAGAATCAAGTAGACACAATCAGAGAATACTATAGACGCATCAGAGAATACTATAAACACCTCTACACAAATAAACTAGAAAATCTAGAAGAAATGGATAAATTCCTGGACACATACACCCTCTTAAGACTAAACCAGGAAGAAGTGGAATCCCTGAAGAGAGCAATAACAAGTTCTGAAATTGAGGCAGTAATTAATAGCCTCCCAACCAAAAAAAGCCCAGGACCAGACAGATTCACAGCTGAATTCTATCAGAGGTACAAAGAGGAGCTGATACCATTCCTTCCAAAACTATTCTAAACAATAGAAAAAAGAGGGACTCCTCCCTAACTCATTTTATTAGGCCAGCATCATCCTGATACCAAAACCTGGGAAAGACACAACAAAAAAAGAAAATTTCAGGCCAATATCCCTGGTGAACATTGATGCTAAAATTCTCAATAAAATACTGGCAAACCAAATCCAGCGCACATCAAAAAGCTTATCTACCACCATCAAGTCAGCTTCATCCCTGGGATGCAAGGTTAGTTCAACATATGCAAATCAATAAATGTAATCCATCACATAAACAGAACCAATGACAAAACCACATTATTATCTCAATAGATGCAGAAAAGGCCTTCAATAAAATTCAACACCCCTTCATGCTGAAAACTCTCCATAAACTAGGTACTGATGGAACATATCTCAAAATAGTAAGAGCTATTGATGAGAAACCCACAGCCAATATCATACTGAATGGGCAAAATCTGGAAGCATTCCCTTTGAAAACCAGCACAAGACAAGGATGCCCTCTCTCACCACTCCTGTTCAACCTAGTATTGGAAGTTCTGAACAGGGCAGTCAGGCAATAGAAAGAAATAAAGCGTATTCAGATAGGAAGAGAGGAAGTCAAATTGTCTATGTTTGCAGATGACTTGATTGTATATTTAGAAAACCCCATCGTCTCTGCCCAAAATCTCCTTAAGCTGATAAGCAACTTTTGCAAAGTCAGAAAACAAAATCAGTGTGCAAAAATCAAAAGCATTCCTATACACCAATAACAGACAAACAGAGAGCCAAATCATGAGTGAATTCCCATTCACAAATGCTACAAAGAGAATAAAATACCTAAGAATACAACTTACAAGGGATGTGAAGAACCTGTTCAAGGAGAACTACAAGGAAATAAGAGAGGACACAAACAAATGGAAAAACATCCATGCTCATGGATAGGAAGAATGAATATCGTGAAAATGGCCATACTGCCCAAAATAATTTATAGATTCAATGCTATCCCCATCAAGCTACCATTGACTTTATTCACTGAATTAGAAAAAAACTACTTTAAATTTCATATGGAACCAAAAAAAGAGCCCATGTAACCAAGACAATCCTAAGCAAAAAGAAAAAAGCTGGAGGCATCACACTACCTGACTTCAAACTATACTACAAGGCTACAGTAACCAAAACAGCATAGTACTGGTACCAAAACAGATATATAGACAAATGGAACAGAACACAGGCCTCAGAAATAACATCACAAGTCTACAACCATCTGATCTTTGACAAACGTGACAAAAACAAGCAATGGGGAAAGGATTCCCTATTTAATAAATGGTGTTGGGAAAACTGGCTAGCCATATGCAGAGAACTGAAACTGGACCCATTCCTTACACCTTATACAAAAGTAAACTCAAGATGAATGAAAGACCTAAATGTAAGACCTAAAACCGTAAAAACCCTAGAAGAAAACCTAGGCAATACCATTCAGGACCTAGGCATAGGCAAAGACTTCATGACTAAAACACCAAAAGCAATGGCAACAAAAGCCAAAATTGACAAATGGGATCTAATTAAACTAAAGAGCTTCTGCATAGCAAAATAAACTATCATCAGAGTGAACCGGCAACCTACAGAACAGGAGAAAATGTTTGCAATCTATCCATCTGAAAAAGGGTTAATATCTAGAATCTACAAAGAACTTAAACAAATTTACAAGAAGAAAACAACCCCATCAAAAAGTGGGTGAAGGATATGAACAGATACTTCTCAAAAGAAGACATTTATGCGGCCAACAGACATGAAAAAAAAAGCTCATCATTACTGCTCATTAGAGAAATGCAAATAAAAACCACAATGAGATGAGATACCATCTAATCCCAGTCAGAATGGTGATCATTAAAAAGTCAGGGAACAACAGATGGCTTGAGAGGATGTGGAGAAATAGGAATGTTTTTACACTGTTGGTGGGAGTGTAAATTAGTTCAACCATTGTGGAAGACAGTGTGGCAATTCCTCAAGGATCTCAAACCAGAAATACCATTTGACCCAGAAATCCCCTTACTGGGTATATACCTAAAGGATTATTAATCATTCTACTATAAAGACACATGCACACATATGTTTATTGCAGCACTGTTGACAATAGCAAAGACTTGGAACAAACCCAAATGCCCATCAGTGATAGACTGGATAAAGAAAATGTGGCACATACACAGGATGGAATACTATGCAGCCATAAAAAGGATGAGTTCATGTCCTTTGCAGGGACGTGGATGAAGCTGGAAGCCATCATTCTCAGCAAACTAACACAAGAACAGAAAACCAAACACTTCATGTTCTCACTCATAAGTGGGAGCTGAACAATGAGAACACATGGACACAGGGAGGGGAACATCATACACCCTGGCCTGTTGGGGGCTTGGGGGCTAGGGGAGGGATAACATTAGAAGAAATATCTCACTGCGCACATGTACCCTAGAACTTAAAGTATAATAAAAAAAAAAAAAAAAGAAGAAATACCTAATGTAAATGACATGTTGATGGGTGTAGCAAACCACCATGGCATGTGTATACCTATGTAACAAACCTGCACGTTTTGCACATGTACCCCAGAACTTAAAGTATAATAAACAAAATTTTTTAAAAAAAAGCTCCACTGAAGCTAAGCTGCCATTAAAAAAAATTATAAGCCATACATGAGGAAGGGTCAGGAGATACATTAAATAGATGAATTGATATCCCTAAAGAATAAAGAAGAATTTGAAAAACACTATAGGTATTTTTAAATAATGAAGGAGAAAAATAAAGAAACAAAACCATAATGAAAGAATTACATACTCTGAGAACACCTAAAGGTTAGTCGCTTATCCAAGAGTAAGTGTCCCAGAGTAAGTGGGATTCAGTTATAAGACAAAGGTGAGGGGGATATCTTGGTGACATAACCATTAAGTGGTGCAGATGGCTCCCTAAGCTTGTGCTCTTACTTGCTGGACTGCAGGTGCTGATGTAGATTTGAAGAGTCTATTGGACATTCCAGTGCAGCAGCAAAAGTGGGTTTAGAGAAATGTAGAGAATGCTAGGTCTCACCATATTTTTCCCCCACACCTCTACAGGACATCGGGACTGGGCACTTCCTTCCAACATGGCCGCCACTGCCTCTCCGCAGCCACTCACCACTGAGGATGCCGGTCCTGAGAATAGCAGCTTCTATTACTATGACTACCTGGATGAGGTGACCTTCATGCTCTGCAGGAAGGATGCAGTGGTGTCCTTTGGCAAAGTCTTCCTGCCAGTCTTCTATAGCCTGATTTTTGTGTTGGGCCTGAGCGGGAACCTCCTTCTTCTCATGGTCTTGCTCCGGTACGTGCCTCGCAGGCAGATGACTGAGGTCTATCTGCTGAATCTGGCCATCTCCAACCTTCTGTTTCTGGTGACACTGCCCTTCTGGGGCATCTCCGTGGCCTGGCATTGGGTCTTTGGGAGTTTCTTGTGCAAGATGGTGAGCACTCTTTATACTACTAACTTTTACAGTGGCATCTTTTTCATTAGTTGCATGAGCCTGGACAAGTACCTGGAGATCGTTCATGCTCAGCCCTACCACAGGCTGAGAACCCGGGCCAAGAGCCTGCTCCTTGCTACCATAGTATGGGCTGTGTCCCTGGCCGTCTCCATCCCTGATATGGTCTTTGTACAGACACATGAAAATCCCAAGGGTGTGTGGAACTGCCACGCAGATTTCGGCGGGCATGGGACCATTTGGAAGCTCTTCCTCCGCTTCCAGCAGAACCTCCTAGGGTTTCTCCTTCCACTCCTTGTCATGATCTTCTTCTATGCCCGTATTGGTTGTGTCTTGGTGAGGCTGAGGCCCCCAGGCCAGGGCCGGGCTCTAAAAATAGCTGCAGCCTTGGTGGTGGCCTTCTTCGTGCTATGGTTCCCATACAATCTCACCTTGTTCCTGCATACGCTGTTGGACCTGCAAGTATTCGGGAACTGTAAGGTCAGCCAGCATCTAGACTACGCACTCCAGGTGACAGAGAGCATCGCCTTCCTTCACTGCTGCTTTTCACCCATCCTGTATGCCTTCTCCAGTCGCCGCTTCCGCCAGTACCTGAAGGCTTTCCTGGCCGCTGTGCTTGGATGGCACCTGGCACCTGGCACTGCCCAGGCCCCATTATCCAACTGTTCTGAGAGCAGCATACTTACTGCCCAAGAAGAAATGACTGGCATGAATGACCTTGGGGAGAGGCAGTCTGAGAACTCCCCTAACAAGGAGGATGTGGGGAATAAATCAGCCTGAGTGACCAAACCTCAGTCTGATGGGAATAGATGGGAACCAGCTCAATTGGGCATCCACTCAAAGTGCTGTCTCCAGGGGCCTCAGTGACTGTGTTGCTAAACCCAGTGGTCAGTTCTCAGTTCTCAGCCATCAGCAGCATTTGCTCGCCCCTGCCTTCTTCCTCCACTTTCTTCACTTGCTTCCAGGACACCGTGCTTTCTTTTCTGAATTCCTACAATGATCCCTCCCTCCCTCCCTCCCTCCCTCCCTTCCTTCCTTCCTTCCTTCCTTCCTTCCTTCCTTCCTTCTTTCCTTCTTTCCTTCCGTCCTTCCTTTCCTTCCTTCCTTCCTTCCTTCCTTCCTTCCTTCCTTCCTTCCTTCCTTCCTTCCTTCCTTCTGACAGTGTCTTGCTCTATTGCTGTGTTGCCCAGGCTGGAGTGCAGTGACTGCAGCCTCCTCCTCCCGGGTTGAAGCGATTCTCATGCCTCAGCCTCCCAAGTAGCTGGGACTATAGGCGCCTGCCACCACACCCAGCTAATTTTTGTATTTCTTTTTCTTTTTATTTCTTTTTTCTTTCTTTTTTTTTGAGATGGAGTCTCACTCTTGTTGCCCAGGTTGGAGAGCAATGGCGCGATCTCAGCTTACTGCAACCTCCACCTCCCGGGTTCAAGCAATTCTCCTGCCTCAGCCTCCTGAGTAGCTGGAACTACAGGCGCCTGCCACCATGCCCAGCTAATTTTTGTCTTTTTGGTAGAGACAGGGTTTCACCATGTTGGCCAGGATGGTCTTGATCTCTTGACCTCGGGATCCACCTGCCTTGGCCTCCCAAAGTGCTGGGATTACAGGTGTGAGCCACCATGCCTGGCCCTAATTTTTGTATTTTTATTTGAAATGGAGTTTCACCATGTTGGCCAGGCTGGAGAATTGCTGCAATAGTTTTTCAACTGGCCCCTGTGCTTCCTCTCTCTTGCTCTCCTCCCTTCTCATCTGCACCTAGCAGCCAGAGTGATCCTGACACTCTCAGCCTTTACTCCCTCCTTCCTCAGAGCATCAGCCTGTCAAAACACCAGATTACAGCAAATTTAGTTTCAAGGTCTCAGCGTTATTGGCAACTCTAGAATCAGGCGATGTACTCATTGAATCAGGAACAGATTCACTACATAAAATAGAAAGAGTGTTCCAATGAGCTGGGTGGAAGAGGTTAGTTTTATAGACAGAAAAGGGCTGTCAAAAGCAGGAAGAAATGAAGAACAAAAAGAAGATTAATTTTTTTTTTTGACACAGGGTCTCACTCTGTCACCCAGGCTGAAGTCCACTCCCACAATCATGGCTCACTGCAGCCACCACCTCCTGAGCTCAAGTGATCCTCCCATCTCAGCCCCCCAAGTAGCTAGGACTACAGGAGCACACCACCACCCTGGCTAATTTTTGTATTTTTTTGTAGAGACAGGGTCTCACTATGTTACCCAGGTTGGACTGGAACCCCTTGACTCAAGCAATCTGCCTGCCTCAGCCTCCCAAAGTGCTGAGATTACAGGTGTGAGCCACTGGACAAGGCCAGACTGGTCATTTCAAAGTTACTTTCTATATACGGCCGGAACAGGGTGTTTGACATCAGGTTTCTTCAGGTTACTTTTTAACGATGATTAAAACAGGGGGAACTTCATTATCATGAGCATGGTTACTCTCTGCATTATCACGCCAACTGAAACTGTCGTGTTTGGGAATTTGACTGTTAACTCTGTCTCCAGGAGTCTCAAAGGTCAGATAACAACTTAGTTTCGGTTTGAGGAAATGGAAATTTCATACAACAGATTCCATTTTGGTTCGGTCTGGTCAGCTGGGACCTAGTGCAGGAGCTTAGTCCAAAACAATGGCCTCCCATAGTTTTTATTTAACAAGCCCAACTCCTTACGGTAATCCTTTAAGGCCTATGTGGTCTGCACCCGCCCTGGCTACACTCTTTGCCCTTATGTCCACCAGCCTCCAGTGCTCCAGACACAACTGATCTCAAATACTCCTGACACATCCCCCTGGGGATTCCTCTTCCTGGACTGCTCTCCTCTCAGCTGTCTGCTTGGCTCACTCTCTCACCTCCTGAGGTCTTAGCTCAGATCTCACCTTTCACTCACCTGTCCAACTATTTAACACAAACTCGCCCATCTCTGACCCCCCTGATCTTCCTGATGCTCTATGTTTTAATTTTTTCAATAGCACTTATTTCTTTCAGACGTTGTATATGTTTCTCCTATTTGTGAGGTTCAGTGCTACTGTCCCCACCCACATCGTCCCAGGTGAATTCCACAAGGTGGGGATCTTGGTTAGGCTCACTGCTGTACCCAACCCCCTAACACAGGGCCTAGTGTGTAGGTTTTCAGAAAGTGTCTGTTAAATGCACAGGTGGAGGAGGAAGCATTTTCCTTCTGGCATTGCTGGGGAAAAACAGCCTAAGGTCCTCCACTCACCAGGGTTCCACATTCTCTGTAGTCCAGCTGGGAAGTACTATTAAAAGGACCATTCTTGTAGCCTTGATGGTGTCCCCAGCATCTGGCAATCAGGAGGGCCTGGAAGTGCTCTGCCCAGGGAATGTCCCAGGACCATGTGCAGTCTGCAGAAGGAGGCAGTGAACACGCTTGGCCTGGGCCCCATCTCAGGAGCCTTCAGATCTCCCTGGGACCTGCACAATCAAGTCCAAAATCTTTGTCTGATGTCAAGGCTAGCGCTTTTGCAAATAGGACCCCATACATCTTCCAGCCCTCATACTCCTCCATTCCCTTTTCATTTCCGGAACATTTCAACTTCTATGCCTTTGCTCTTGTGGGCACCCTCATGTAATTAGGATAATTTCCAGCCAGGTATTCCCTCACCCTTGTTTTATAACTGAATCCCACTTTCTCTGGGACACCACTGCTTGGTCACTCTGCCCTGGGTTTTGAGAGGAAGTTGGGTGGAGCATGGGACATGGGTCAGTTACTGCCTTCACATTTTCCTGGTCATGGTGATTTTTTTAGGGGTGGGCACATGACCCAGGCAGAGCCAATGAAGTGCGATGTCACTAGAACATGCGAGAAGAGAGGCATGAAACTGAAGCTGAGAGGGTTTGAGATCTGGAGCTACTCCTTCCTCCACCCAAACTTCAGAAGGTGAAGGAGATAGCGCATGTGAGTGAGCAGATCCTGAGGGCACTGTTTCAGCCTCAGAAACAAAGCACCTCTGAACCTCGTCCCAATCTTGGATTCGACAGTTACAAGAATCAATAAATTTCTTTCCGTGTGGAGTCATGTTGTTTTGTGACTTGCAACCTAAAGATTCCTGACTGATATACTGTGCCCAGTGCTTTTCTCTTCATGGCTCTAATGCTTGGCATTCTCCCTGCCCCCCGACATATCCACTGAGAAGCCTTTCCCCAGGGAGCTGCCTGCCCACATGGCATCTCTCTTTCCCGAGCTTCTAAAGCACTCAACTGCTCTTTCCACCTCATAGAACTACCTGGTGCAACCTGCACACGTCCCACCACGTCTGCCCTGCACAGTTGAACGTGGAACCTGGGACACGGGAAAGGAAACTTTCTGGTGGATGGAATGGAGGGTAGGAGAACAGAGGGCTGGGTGAACATAAGTCCATGAGAGCAGGGACTTTGCCCTGTGTAAACTCTGCATCCCCTGTGCTTCAATACGTGCTCAGAGTATAGTAGATTCTTTTTGGAATGAATGGATAAGTTTTGTTTTGTTTTTTTTTTTGAATGAATGGCTGATAGAAGATTGAACAGGCAAGCAGTATTCTGCCCGCTGTTTCTTCTCCCGCTGTTTCTTCTCTTCCCCTGAGCTTTTGATGGCGTAGTCATGGCACATGTGCCACGTGCCATCTGGCGGTCTCGATGTAGCACAAGTCGCCCTGTGCCTTCCCCACATCCAGTCTCTCTCAGCTCTGCCTTTAGTTCTCTCTCCTCAAGGCCCCCAGTTCCCCACCATCAGGAAGGACTCTGAGCTTCCTAGTTCCCTGGGAAATGAAGCTCTAGATCTGAAGGTGGATATTTGTTTGAGGATGCGGAGGATGGAATTCTACTTCAGAGCTCTGGAAATCTTGTCTTACAAGGAACTTCTGTTCGTTTGCCAGCCTGGCTGGTGAGATGCAGCCTGAGCTGCACCAACGGGGTCTAGGTGCTCGGAGGCCCTGACTTTGTGCCCATGATGCACAGAGAGGATGTCAGGCAAGGGACACCCAGCAGGGCTTGTCACACCAGCATTGGTGGATTTGTGTGTGTCTGTGTGTCTATGTGTCTGGGAAGTATGTGTGCATGTGTCTGTGTTGCTGTGTGGGCTGTGCATAGTATATATGGTTGTGTATGTGGTTATGATGCAGCTGTGTCACTGTGTCCAAGTGGGTCTGGTTATGTGCCTGCAAGTTTCCTATTCTTTCTTCTTTTGAGACGGAGTCTTGCTGGAGTGCAGTGACATGATCCCAGCTCACTGCAACCTCTGCCTCCCAGGTTCAAGCAATTCCTGTGCCTCAGTCTTCTGAGTAGATGAGATTACAGGCATGAGCTAATTTTTGTATTTTTAGAGACAGGGTTTCACCATGTTGGCCAGGTTGGTCTCGAATTTCTGAGCTCAAGTGATGTGCCCACCTCGGTCTCCCAAAGTGCTGGGATTGCAGGCGTGAGCCACTTCACCCAGTCCTATTTGTTCTTTCATGCCTTTCTCTATGTGTGTGTGTGTGTGTACTTGCTGCAAAAGGCAAGAACATAACAAGTAGTGCCCTGAAGCCTATGTCCAAAGGAGACGGCAAGGGCTAGCTGCAGGTACCTCATTCTCTGTCACTGTCTTAGGTGCTATATAGTTTGAGAGCAGCTCGGCAGCTCTCACAGCCCAGGCCAGCATAAAGCCCTCTCCATCCCAGCCTTACTTTCTGGTCTGGGCCTTGGTTTCTCCTGTTGCTGTCTGTCTCCCCAAAGGCCTGACAAGGTCTGGCTCCCTGACTGCACTGCTCAGACCTTTCCCAGGGGTCTCAGGAAGGAAATCAGAATTCCTCTGACCCTCAGGCTCTGAGGCAAGGTGGATTCTTCCCATGGGCTAACCTAGGGAGAAGCGTAGAAGTTGCTTTGCCCATGGGCAGGGCTGCTGCCCATGTTCAACGCCATGAAATGTGATGTTTTGACTCCAGTCATTCTCTATGAGAAAAGCATCTCTTTTCTTTCCCAGGTGCCTGAAATTCCACCATTGGAAAGCCACCCCTGATCTTGCTTTAGTATAAACCATCTTCAGGGAGAACACATTTAGTGGACTTTCCTCTGAGGTCCTGATGAGGAAAAGGATGAGAGGAAGAAAACAGTTGGCATAGAAATGAGGAATTGGGGGCAGAATGACTGGGTTGGGTGGGTGGTGACTAGAGGCATCCTTGGTGGTCGCAGTCTTCCTCCTGCCTCAAGGCCTCTGCCAGGGTTGGCTGCAGCAGTCCTCATGCAGGGGGCAGAGAGCTACATGGGCCATGGGCCCCTCCCATGCCAGCAGGTGGGCATGGGGCATTGGGCTCCCTGCCCACACTCCAATCCTTGGGGGCTCTTGCTTCCTGTAGTTATGCTGGATATCGCTGACTGCAGGATGGTACACTTGCATTCACCTCACATCCCACCCGCTGAAGCTCCCCTTGGTCCCAAGCATCTCCTCTGGGGCTCTCAGAAAGGCCACAGGGTCCATTAAGTTCCTATCTGCACATGGTCACTCCCAGTTGAGACCTTCTGGTCCTGACTCAGGGAACTCAGGCCCTCAGCCCCACCCCAGCCAATCCACAGGCCAATCCTGGTCCATATTCCCTTGGGTGTGAGGCATAAAAGGAGACATAGCACCAAGGTCTAGGGAGGGCCAAGGAGGTGTGTGAAAGCTCTGTTCCTGCTTCCCCACAACCCCAGCCCCATTGTACTGGGCACAGGGCCTGGCTGGGCAGAGGCATCATTGGTACGTTTCCCATGGACACTCTTCCACCTTCCAGCCCCTTTCTCCTCCTTCCGTGCCCCCTACTCAACTCTTCTTGTGCTCCTGGTCCTTGTGGAATAGGCTGGGATATCTCAGCTTCTCCTAACCAGGAAGAGCTTTATCAAGCCCCAGGCAGACATCAGCATTTATGGGCAGCTGACCTCAGAGAAAGGCAAGCCCTGGCCCAGGGTTGGGGACAGACTATCACCCCAGCTCAGACCCCTGCCTACTCTCTTGACAGAGAAGAACAGGCAGCCTCAGGAGAAATGTGAGGCTGCCAGAGATGTAAGATAGAAGTAGCAGAGAGAAGCTCCACTGGCTCGTCACTGGGTCAGGGGGTCCATGCAGCCTGGGCCGACCTCCTCCAAGACCCTCTATCCAGTTCCCACAATCGTTCTTTCTCCTGTCCCAGCTCCAGCTGGGGCCCTGCCATCAGCCAGCTGCAGCTATGGCAGCCACCCCCTCACCCTCTTGCAGCACTGGTAAGCACGCTGGGAAGGGGCGTTGTCTTCATTTCATAGATTGGAGGGCTAAGGCCAGGAAATGATTTGAGGACAGAAAGCAAATTAGCTGAGACTAGAAGTCAGGTTTCTAACATTTAATCTTCACTTAGGGAATTGGAGGTCAGAAATGAATAAAATACCATGCTCCAGTAGGCTTCAGTCTGGGGAAGTGGGCAGCAGGCAGAAACCAAGATACAGAAAGCAACGACACGTAACAGATATGCTATGGTACACATGGTGCTGCAGGAGCTTCACAGTTTGGAGGCCATTTCTTGCCAGAGGATGGGATGAGTGAAATCCAGGAAGGCTTCCAGGAAGGAGTAGCTGGCACTGGGATGGGCGGGAAAAGCAATACCTCTACTTTAGGGATGGTTTCATCGGAGAAAGTTTGCAAAGTCGGGGAGTTTGGAGACCAACCGTGACAAAGTTTAAACATCAGGTATGTGAAGGCAAGGGGGACCATCTGTGACAAAATTTAAATATCAAGTGTGTGAAGTCGAAGGGGAACCAGGAAAGTAAAAGAGTAACAATCAGAAGTGCTTTTGGCAAAAAAGCCTCTGGCAGCAGCATAGAAGAGAAATGCAGAGGTCACAGGTATAAGAATGACAGTAGGAGAAGGGAAGAGGGTACACATTTCAGAGGCATCACAGGGGGTGTACTGACAGGACGGGGGCCTGCTTATATGAAGGTGAAAGAGGAGGAGGGAGAGTGTCTCTGGGAGATGGGGTGATTGGTAGTGTTCTGAGCAGAGAGACCAGGGAACTCGGGAGAACAAGTGGTTCAGGGAAGAGGCAGGGGCTCAGATGCCAAGTTCTGCATTGGCCAAGCTGAGTCAGAGGTGCTGGGAGACTCCCAGGGGGGTCTGGGGATAGGAGAAAGCTCTGAGTTCAGCAATGATCATGGAAACCAAGGGAGGGTTGACAGTACCCTGAGGTGGGAGAGACATGGGCACTGAGGAGGGATCTTGAATAATTCCGACATGAAAGGCATCCTGGCTGGGTGCAGTGGTTCGTGCCTATAATCCCAGAACTTTGGGAGGCCGAAGCAGGCGGATCACCTGAGGTCAGGAGGTCGAGACCAGCCTGGCCAACATGGTGGAACGTTGTCTCTACTAAAAATACAGAAACGAGCTGAGTGTGGTGGGGTGAGCCTGTAATCCCAGCTACTCAGAAGACTGAGGCAGGAGAATTACTTGAATCCTGGAGGCAGAGGTTGTAGTGAGCCAAGATCACACCACTGCACTGCAGCCTGGGCAACAGAGCGAGACTGTCTCAAAAAAAAAAAAAAAAAAAAGGTAGCGTTTCTCTAGACCTGTGCTATCCAATAGGGCAGCCACCTGAACTGGGAAGAGCTGCAAAAATACAGTACATACCAGACTTTGAAGACAGGATGAAAAAGGGAAGGTAAAAACTATTTCGTTAAAATTTTTAATAGTGATCACGTTGAAACGTCAATATTTTGGATATATTGGATAAGTAAAGTATATTATAAAAATGAATTCTGCTTCATTTTACTTTTTAAAAATGTGTTTACCAGGAAACTAAATTAGCTGGGCAAGGCGGCACATACCTGTAATCCCAGCTACTTAGGAGGCTGAGGCAGGAGAATTGCTTGAACCCAGGAGGCAGAGGTTGCAGTGAACAGAGATCGCATCACTGCACTCCAGCCTTGGCAACAGAGCAAGACTCTGTCTCAAAACAAACAAACAAATAAACAAACAAACAAAACCAAAAAACCCCACTACTCATGTAGCTTGCTTCATATTTATATTGGATGACACTGTTCTAGAGCCTGAATTCCATAGGATATGTGATAAGTGTTGCTGAAAAAACTAAAGCAAAGTGGGAGGATGGAGGCTGATGTTTGCAAGATGCCATGTTACTCATGTCTGGGGGGAACCAGTTTCTGTACTCAGGACTTCTCAAGGCAGGCATCATCTCCCAAACCAAGTTGCCCACAGATACTCCCCCTTCCCCTGGACTTCCTGTAAGAGGAGGGTTCAGCAGAACCCACTCTGAGAGATGGTATTTTAAAGAGAATGATAAACTTGTCAGATGACTAGGCAGGGAGAGAGCGAGGACAGGCAGAACAGAGGTAGGGGGTGCCACAGGACCAGAAGGAAGGGTGGCCAATGCGGGCTTGGGCTGCAGAGGGGTGAGAACAGGTGAGAGACCCAATAGAATCCCTCTGGCCAGGTTTGCCGCTGGCTTGACCGAGCTCACTCTATAGGACGCAGGCGGTAGCGGAAGCGCACATCATGGCTGGGCTGCATGGTGCCAAAACCCCAGCGCTGCGGGTCAACATGGGGTAGTGGTGTGTCAGGGTCCACCAACTCTAAGTCAAAGTGTGTGACCATAAGCAGGATAAAGAGCTTCACCTCACTGAGTGCGAAGAACCTCCCAGGGCAGATGGAAACACCCGAACCCCAGGGCATGGTGTAGTGGTGGATCTTCTTGCCTGCCTTGAAGAAGTCCACTTTCCGGCTGCCATTAGGGTTGAGGAAGCGATCGTACTTGAACACGGTGGGCTCGGGGTGGATGTCAGGGTCCACGTGCACTGAGAGGTAGGGAAAGAGGGCCAGGATGTCTCCACGGCGGAACAGATACTCCTGCCCACTGGCCATCTTCAGGGTATAGTCTTCATGAACCAACCTGAGGAGGGTGGGTGCAGCCCTCAGCCTCAGTGTCTCCTCTACCACACTGTCCAGAACTGGGGTGTGTTGCAGGGCACTGAGTTTGAAGGCAAAGCACTGCTTGGTCTCCAGTCTGGCCTCACCCAGGACCTGGGTAGCTTCCTCCCTCACAGCCTGAATAGCTTCTGGGTGCTTCAGGAGGAACAAGAGGGCCCAGAAAGAGGTAGGCCCCGTGTTCCCCTGGGAGGCCCACAGCATCATGAAGTTGAACTTGTCCTGCATAGCTGAGGGTACCCCCTGCTCCCTCAGAAACTGAAGCATGTTGCACAGCCAGTTGCTGATGCCCTCCTTCTCCTGGCTGTGGCTCACAGAGAGCATCTTGTGAAAGAGACGCTGGAGTCGGCCCACTTCTAGCCACTCTTGGGGCCACAGCAGGGAGTAGACAAACCTGGGGAAAAGAAGGTCAAACTTGCGGAACTCCACGAATAACTCTCCTGCTTGTAGCAGGTCCTGCTCCTTGTCCTTCGTGTAGCCGAACAAGCTCAGGTAGCCAGCTGTGAACAAGATATAATAGCAGAAGTGAAAGAGGCTGTCCTCGTGCCAGCAACTGGCATCCAGACTCCAGCCTTTCGACTTCAGCATTACAAAGGACAGGCTGTCCAGCATGGTCTCATTAAGATCCTTCAAGCCATCCCCCCTCAGATGCTTGGTGCTGGCTGAGTGTATCATCTCATGGTCCCCTTGCACTGAACGGTATCCAAATACCTTCAGCACCAGTTTTTTTGCATATTGCCCAAAGTCTAGTTTTCTCTGTGTGTCCTTGAGGATGGGGCCAAAGGAGAGGGGGTCCATGACAAAGGTGAAGTACTGGCCCCCTAGCTGCACTGTGAACACATCCCCATGCTTGCTCCTCATGCGCTTCAGAAATTCAAACATATTCTTCCGGAAAGCCATGGCATAGCCAAGCCAGGGCACAGTACCCTTGTCCAGAGGGGGCTCCCGTGGCCTACGTTGTCGGAGCATCCCTGGCAGGCACAGGTATCCAGCAATGACCACCAGCAGAGCTCCCAGCACTGGACCCCAGAGCACCATGTCTATGCTTCTGCGGATTAAGCTCTCAACACACACACCGTTCCCTGGGTGCCAGAGAGCTTTGGGAGGCCTTGGGAAGTCCAGGAGGTAAAGGTCTGAGCACCTGGACCTTGCCCTGTGGCCACAAGTTATGGTAAATAACACTAGCGAGACAGTACTTGGAAGCAGCAAAATGTTCCCCTGGACTTAACACTTGGCTGACTGGTCATGTAGGGGAGGAGGAGGTAACCAGGAGAAAGCTCAAAGAGAAGCCTCCAGCTATGGTCACAGCTGCTCACCAGCTTCATACGTTGCTCTGGCCTTTTCAGACTCAGCTCTTGCACCTTCTCTCTAAGCCTGCCTTGAGCCCACTCCCACCTCCGTGGCTGACTGACTATTTACGCCCCCATTTACATATGCATTTATTTATTTGCCAGTTCATTCGGTAGAAATGAATCAAGCACTTACAAAATCTCACATCGACTCTTTCATCATCTTTAGAAGATGCAACAAATGCGTCCATTACTAGTTGGCCCCCTTGGTCAAGTGACTTAACCTCACTGTGCCTCCATTCCTTCATCTGTGAAGTAGGGATAATTATAGTGCCTCATAGGTGCTGTCGTGAGGCAAAAAGAGATAAAACCTGCAAAGCACTTAGAATAGTGCCTGGCTCATTCTAGTGCTCCATATATGTTAGTTAGTATCCTAAAGCCTTTTCTCTTACCTCTGCCCGCTCCCCTGGACCTCACGGCAACCCTGTGCTTATCTCCTCATCCTTTCCCTAGTCTATCTTCCTCTCTGGTCTCAAAGATGTTTGCCAAGGGGGCATGGCCTTGTTGAAGTCATGTCTGCTCCTACCTCCATGTGCACACAGGACACAGTCAAAGGCAAGTGAAGAATTACTGTATGCCCTTCCACAAGAGCTCTGACCCCAACCCAAAGAAAAGAGGCATCGATGCTGGGGCTTTAGATACTGAGAAGGCTGAGCTTCTGGAGGGGGTGTTGACTCCATCTTGGGGTATTAGTATGAATGAATTCATCTGAGGAGGCCACAGAGCCTCCCAGATGACGACTCTTCAAGCACAGGCTGGGCCTCTCACCTGCAGCCCTCTCACCTGCCCAACTGCTTGCCTGTACACTTCTCTGACAAGAAGGCAGAATCCTGGAATTGTAAAATGTCAGAGACGATAGGGATCTTACTCAGTCGCTTCATACTTCATTTCACAATGAGGATCTAGGTGCAGAATGCAGTGGGGACCCTCTTTGACAGCTGCCCTGGCTCGAGGCCTTGAGATAAGCTAATCATTGACTAAGGGCCTTCTGAGACATGTCAGACCAGGTCCCTGCCAGCAGCTCAAGAAGGAGAAAGCTGTACGATTGACACCAAGGCATTAGTCAAGCAGTCTGGCCCACTGTTGCAATAGGTGAGGTTCAAACTCAATTCAATCAGTTCTGATAACCTCCAAATTACTTTTTAACTTCCTAACCACCTGAAACAGGGACTTCAGCTCTTCAGACAAAAGAGGATATGGAACTTCTGTATCCCCTCTGGAGTGAGCTTCCTTTGCCCATGAGCTTCCCCTTGGCAGGGAGTTGGAACTGTCCACACTCTGCTTCCCAGAATCCCTCTTTAATTGCTCAGGACCACCACAGTACTTGGCATCATCAACTCTCCTCAACCTTAGAATTCGGTCAGAAACTGGGCCAAATCCAATGAACTGAACCGTGTCCCCTATTTTTTAGTGGATGAACCATTATTTCACATTCATTCTTACCTCATTCATTAACCCACACTCATCCATTCATTCTCTCCTTCCTTGGAGAAGCCCCATCTATCCATTCACTAGATATTTATTGGGCACTTACTGGCAGAAATGTTGCTAAGATCTGGGATTATAATCGTGAATGAGATAGACACAATCCCTGCCCTCTTGCAGTTTATGGTCTAATGGAGGGAGAAAGATATGAAATCACTGCCCAAAGTAATTATACATGTATTTCTCATTTATTGTGCTTTGCTTTATTGCACTTCACAGATACTGTGTGTTTTACAAATTGAAGGTTTGTGGCAACCCTGCGTTGAGCAAGTCTATTGGCACCATTTTTCCAACAGTTTGTGCTAACTTTGTGTCTCTGTGTCACATTTTGTAATTCTCACAATATTTCATTTTTTTTCATTATTATCATTACAGCTGTTGTGGTGATCTGTGATATGCTAGTATTGTAATTGTTTTGGGGCACCATAAACTGGGCCCATGTATGATGCAAACTTAATTGGTAAATGTTGTGTACATTCTGACCATTCCACTGACCAGCTGTTCTCCCCTCTCTCTATCTCTCCTTGGGCTTTCCTATTTCCCAAGGCACAGCAATGCTGAAATTAGGCCAACTAATAACCTTACAATGGCATCTAAGTGTTCAAGTGAAAGGCAGAGCTGCACTTTAAATCGCTTTAAATTTCACTTTAAATCACAAGCCAGAAATGATTAAGCTTAGTGAGGAAGGCCAAGATAGGCTGAAATCTAGGTTTGTTGCACTGCACAGTTATTTAAGTTGTAAATGCAAAAGAAAAGTTCTTGAAGGAAATTAGAAGTGCTACTCCAGTGAATACATGAATAATAAGAAAAACAGCTTTATTGCTGATATAAAGAAAGTTTTAGTGGCCTGCATAGATCAAACCAGCTACAACATTCCCTTAGCCAAAGCCTAATCCAGAGCAAGGTCTTAACTCTCTTCAATTCTATGAAGGCTGACAGTGATGAAGAAGCAGTTGGAGAAAAGTTTGAAGCTAGCAGAGGCTGGTTCATTAGGTTTAAGGAAAGAAGCCATCTCTACAACATAGAAGTGCAATGTGAAGCAGCAAGTGTTGATGAGGAAGCTGCAGCAAGTTAGCCAAAAGATGTAGCTAAGATAATTGATGAATACGGCTACACTAAACAACAGATTTTTAATGTAGATGAAACGACCTTGTATTGGAAGAAGAGACCATCTAAGGACTTTCCTAGAGCAAAGTCAATGCCCTGCTTCAAAGCCTCTAAGGGTAGGATGACTCTCTTTTTCGGGGCTAACGTAGCTGGTGACTTTCAGCTGAAGCCAATGCTCATGACCGTTCTGAAAATCCTAGGGCCCTTGGGAATTATGCTAAATCGACTCTGCCTGTACTCTATAAGTAACAAGGCCAGGTGTGGTGGCTCGCGCCTGTAATCCCAGCAATTTGGAAGGCTAAGGCAAGTGGATTGCTTGGAGACCAGCCTGGGCAACGTGGCGAAACCCTGTCTCTACAAAAATTACAAAATTTAGCCAGGTATGGTGGTGCATGCCTGTGGTCCCAGCTACTTGGGAGGCTGAGGTGGGAGGATCACCTGAGCCTGGGAGGATGAAGCTGCAGTGAGCCAAGATCATGTCACTGCACTTCAGCCTGGGTGACAGAGTGAGACCCTGTCTCAAAACAAACGAACAAAACAAAGGCCGGATGGCAGCACCTCTGTTTGCAGCGTGGTTTACTTAGGCCCACGGCTGAGACCTACTGCTCAGAAAAAAAGACTCTTTTCAATGTATTACTAGTCATTAACAATGCACCTGGTCACCCAAGATCTCTGATGAAGATGTTCAAAGAGATGAATGTTGTTTTTCATGCCTGCTTACGCAACATCCATTCTGCAACCCATGGATCAAGGAGTAATGTCGACTTTTCAGTCTTAGTAGTTCAGAAATACATTTCATAAGGCTATAGCTGCTGTAGACGGTGATTCCTCTAATGGATCTGGGCAAAGTAAATTGAAAACCTTATGGAAAGGATTCACCATTTTAGCGCCGCTAAGAACATTTGTGATTCATGGGAGGAGGCTAACATACCAACATGAACAAGAGTTTGAAAGAAGTTGATTCCAACCCTCATGAATGACTTTGAGGGGTTCAAGGCTTCAGTGGAGGAAGTCACTGCAGATGGGTGGAAACAGAATTAGAAGTGGAGCCAGAAGATGTGACTGAATTGCCGCCATCTCCTGATTGAACTTGAATGGATGAGGAGTAACTTCTTATGGATGAGCTAAGAAAGTGGTTTTTTGAGATGGAAACTACTGGTGAAAATGCTGGGAACACTGTTGAAACGACAACAAAGAATTTAGAATATTACATAAAGTTAGTTAATAAAGCAGCAGTAGAGTTTGAGAGGATTGACTCCAATTTTGAAAAAAAAGTTCTACTGTGGGTAAAATGCTATCAAACAGCATTGCATGCTACAGAGAAATCTTTCCTAAAAGGAAGAATCAACTGGTGCGGCAACCTCGATTGTTGCCTTGTTTTAAGAAATTGTCACAGCCCCCCCAGCCCTCAGCAACCACCACCCTGATCAGTCCAGGGTGAAGATAGGAATCACTGAAGGCTCAGATGATCAGTAGCATTTTTTAGCAATAAAGTTTTTTTTTTTTAAGGGATTATATATGTGTGTGTGTGTGTGTTAGATATACTGCTTTTGCACACTTAATGGTGTACAGTCTAAACATAATTTTTATATTCCCTGGGAAACAAAATTCGTGCGACTCATTTTACTACGGAGGTTTGAAACTCAACCCGCAATATCTTCGCGGTATGGCTGTTAATTGTGACGAATGCTGCAAAGAAGAGCAGAGCATGAAGGGAGGTGGCAGTCAGGAAGGCCTCACTCATTGGGCCACACTGATTCAGCAGAGACCTGGAGGACCACAAGACCCAGTCAATGTGTATTGTGCGTGATGGAGGTGCTAGCGGCGGAAGAGGGGGTGCTGGTCAGGGGATGCAGCAGGGTGGCCCCAAGGTACCGACAGCATATCCACCCTGGGGCCAATGAGCCCAGGGCGCTCGGAGAAGGGGGAAGAATCTCCACAGGGTGCAGAGCCGGCAGGTTCTGTGCGGGGTCGGACTTTGACACATCGGTGGCACTGAACCCTTCTCACGCCAGCCTGCACAGCCGCGCTTGCGTCCGGGGTCAGCCCAGGGGGGCCACGCAGGGCTGCCGGGTGGACAGGCCAAGGAATACGGGCTCTTCCTCAGGCGGAGATTGGCTTGCCCCTGGGAAGTCAGCCCATGGGACTGCCCTCCTCTCCCTCCCGAGGGGCT